AAATATTAAATGTTTTTCAAATAATTAGATGCCTTACACACTAAAAGATGGACAGTAGAAGGTACAACACAAAGTATTATGTTAACGCAGCTAGAAAATCTACTCTCACACTGTGATTGTGCTTGAATCTGAATGGTTAAAAAGACCATTCATCTGCCTGCTCCCTGTGCTATTTAAAACTGTCCAACCTAATATATGTCATGACAGATGATCTCATCTTTACCATCTCGGTCTTTCCTGGGGCTGCGTGAAGAGACAAAGACTCTGTCAGATTCACTTAGTGTATCAATGCTCATCTTTTTTTTAAATATTATTTCAGATCGAACTAACTATTGCAAACCTGTAACAATATGACACTATATTTTATGACATATACATAAACTTGACATAAGAAATCATTCACTGATGCTGTGTATGGCTCACACATATATCAATATGTATTCCAATGCTATAGACCCAGGTGGCCAAAAGTAGGGTGTACAGAAGAACTTCAGTACCCCAGTGGATGACATTTGACCCACCATCAGGTAGTTATTGCAAATGATTTCAGTGTGCCATCTCTGTGTCGAAACCATTTAACCCTGGCATTGATTAAGGTAGATTTCATGTAAAATTGCAATTATTTGGATCAGTTCTGCTGTTCTGCTGACACATGGCAACACTATGGCTAGTTGTGGCCCAAACTGGACTGGGACACTGAAGAGTACCATCGTTCCAAGCTGCATGCAAGAGTTCAAACTGGCCAACATGCTTGGGCCACTTTACCCTTTACCCACTTGATATTATTTTGCATGCTGCCCACTTTGAAATCCACATCAGTTACACCTTTAAGCCCTCTAAGCATTATTAAGTACAGGCTTACCAAAGGTGACCACGGGTGACACAAACACCCTTTGAGAATTGGAGGCTACCACACTGGCACCCCCAGAGCATCTGCCCTACTTTCCATCCCCTGACCTGGGACTGATCTGCATAAAGAATGGTAGAGGCGTCAAGGACATCACCTTTAAACTACTTATATGCAAAAGTGTTAATTCATGTGTGTATTTGTTCGGTAGGACCTGAGGTGGACCACAGGAACTGGAACTGTTTTGGAGTCCTGCATCACGGCAAGACTCCAGCTATATAACTGGCTGTACACATCATACAGAAATCAGGATCCAATCTATATTTAGTCACGTCAGGTGGTTAAACATATGAAAGCCCAATTATTTTTTTAAAAGAATGTGCCACTTTAACTTTTACCAGTATTTTATAGCATTTGACCTAAATGTTTTAGACCTACTTCAGTTTTTCCCCACCGATCCAAAACCAACCAAACTAAACCAACAACAAACCAATCAAATTCATCTTTATCTATATGACAATATGATAAGGAAAAGAAGACACGTTTGAATTTCCGTCGCTTCTTTTACACTGTCCTACCCTTGACTTCTGCAGAAACATGCGGTCAGGTACATAGGATGAAAACCATTTAGCTTTAAGACGACAACACTCCAGCAGCTGTAGCGTCGCTCACTACACTTGCAATTAAGATAACTGTAACAAATAAAAAGAGTAAACATTATAGCTTAGGAAATCTGCGTCTGCGTCCCCAGCGCGCACAAGGAAGGCGCAAACGGCGAACCATGCGCACCTGTCCGACCTGGATTGAAGCTGCAACACTGCCATGTGTAGTCACCTTTTCTGGGGGGCTCGTAAGTGAGCAAAAAGGGTAGCAAGGTGCTGTTGACAAAACGACAAAAAGTAAATAGATGAAGAGTCTCACCTGCTCCCTTTTCCGTGGTCCACAAAAGTCCTCTGACTCTTTCACTGGGCTGCCAACTACTGAGCTGCTCTCTTTACTGCTGCCGCTGCTGCTGCAGTCAGCCACAACTCATCCCACCCCCTACACACACACACACACACACACACACA